AAACCCCGAACGGCCGCCCCAGTCATCCACCTGGCGCCCCGGCGCCCAAACTCCAAGCTGCCCAAGATGACGCCGACCAGGATTTCAGCGACGACGACCCCGAGGACCAGCCTTCCTACGACGACCATTCCAACACAAACGGCATCGCATCTGCAAAGTCCAAAAAGAAGAACAAGAAGAAGAAGAAGGCCGGCAAGGCCCAGCATCTGCCCGACCCTCAATTCGACAACCTATCGCATCCCCCCCACTCTCCATTGGCCCCGCGTGGCAATGGGATTTCAAAGGACAAGATCTGGAACACCAGCTCTCAGGAGGAGCGCGAACGCATCAAGGAGTTCTGGCTGGGTCTGGGCGAGGATGAGCGCAAGTCATTGGTAAAGGTCGAGAAGGATGCCGTCCTCAAGAAGATGAAGGAGCAGCAGAAGCACACGTGCAGCTGTACCGTCTGCGGCCGTAAGCGAACGGCGATTGAGGAGGAGCTGGAAGGTCTCTACGACGCTTACTACGAGGAACTCGAAACATTTGCTCACCAGGGCGAAGGCCCCCCACTGCTCGGTAGTCACGGGCGCGAGTTTCCTATGCGGCCGTCACGACTGCCGTCAGGCTACTCGGGGCAACCACCATCGCGCGGCCGCATAATTGAGCACGTCGGCGACGATGAGGATGACGAAGAGCCCGAAGATGAGTATAGCGACGACGAGGAGGACCTCGACGACGACGAATATGACAGCGAAGATGAGCCCCCCGAGGACGCTCATGACGCTCACCCTCACGACCACCCTCATGATCGAGACGTGGCAGATTTCTTGACGTTTGGGAACAGCCTGCAAGTCAAGGGTATGAAGCTTCTGGACTCTCTACTCTGCAGATATGGTAACATGGACTTAGGCGGCATACTCACCGTTGCGGATGATCTTCTCAAGAACGACGGCAAGCGCTTCATTGAGATGATGGAGCAGCTCGCCGAGCGTCGCATGGCCCGAGAAGAGGACGCCAAGGAGCACTTTGCTCGTGGCTATGCTCATCCCACTAACGGCTCATACTCGAATCATAACCATCCTCCTCCCGAAGACGACTACGACGACGAAGACGAGGAGGAGGATGAGGACTATGATGACAGTCAAGAAGAGGAATACGAGGATGAAGAAGTGAGCTCCTCTCAATACACGTATGACCATAAACACTCGAGTACTGAGCATATTTGTTGTCATCATCAGGACACGATGACCGAGGAGCAGCGCATGGAAGAGGGTCGTCGCATGTTTCAAATATTCGCAGCTCGCATGTTTGAGCAAAGGGTGCTCACAGCGTATCGAGATATGGTCGCGAAGCAACGCCAGCAACAACTCATCGCGGAACTCGAGGAGGAGACGCGGCAGGAATCCCAGCGGAAGGCGAAGAAGGCAAAGGAGAACCAGAAGCGCAAGGACAAGGCCGCCCTCAAGAAACAGATGCAGGCCGAGGAGAAGGCGCGAAAGGAGGCCGAGAAAGCTGCGGAAGAGGCTGCCCGACTCGAGGAGCAGAAGAAGAAGGCGGAAGAACAGCGGCTCAAAGCCGAGGAGAAACGCCGCAAAAAGGAAGAGCAGAAGCGTCTCGAGGAGGAGGATCGACTGCGCAAGGAAGCTGAGCGGCTACGACGTGCGCAAGAACAACAAGAGAAACGCGCTGAGGCGGAACGCAAAGCGCGCGAGTTGAAGGAGAAGCAGAAGGCCAAGGAGGCACGCGACAAGGAGTCCCGCGAGCAGAAGGAGAGGGAAGCCCGCGAGCGCAAGGAGAAGCAGGAACAGGCCAAGAGGGATAAGGACCAAAAAGCCAAGGCGGAGCGAGAAGCCAAGGTCGAGAAGGAGGCCAGGGAGAAACTCAAGCAGGAGGAGAAGGCTGCGCAAAAGGTTGCCGCTGCGGCAGCCGCTGCGGTTGTTTCTGCCGATGCTGCCCCTATTCCGATCCCGAACCCGAGCCGGCGGCCATCGCAACATCCCGTGTCGATCCCGACACACCCGTCGAATCCAGCATCCTATGCATCTCCAAAGATACCCGTTGCGACGCCGGCTATTCCCAAGGCGCCAACACCGATCCGCCCGAAGAACGCCGTCCAGCCACAGGATGTGAGCATGCCCGGATCGCATGCGTCGCAGTCTAGCTCAACCAGCCAAAATCCATCACCACACCCCGCCACGCCGGGTCACACGAGTCCGGCCCCGATTGGTTCAAGGAAAGGAAGCGTGGCAACGACAACATCACTACCGCATCCTCACTCCGTGTCACCGTCCACCATGAAGGGGCCAATGGGCGCAACACCAGGCCCGTTCGGCATGCCAATGAGCATGCCGCCACCGGGCTTTGGAGGACCGCCCCCAGGGCTAGGCAACCGGATGCATGAGCCGATCTTTGGTCCCCCCGGTATTCCTGCCTTCGGAAGGCCGCCCCCGGGCATGATGCCCGGCCCACCCGGCCTCAACGGGCCGGCCGGACGAGGTTTCATGCCGCACCCGCCGCCGGGCTTCGGCGCACCCATGGGCGATCCAATGCACGGCATGGGCTCGGCCCCAGTGACACATTCTCGCCAGGCATCGGGCAGCTTTACAGAAGCTTCTTCTCCGGCGCCGTCGCAGCCCATCGGGAGACCGGCGCCTATCGGCCGACCAGGCAGCGTGGTGCAAGGACAACGAGACGACCAGGACGACTTTGCCAACCAGCACCTCGGTAGCAGCGCGCTGTTGGACGAGTTCGACGACCCGAACCTAAACCCGCTCTCTGCGCCTTTCAACGCCATGGGAAGAGCGCGCCAACAACCTCCTCGGCCAGCGTTCCCAAGCATCCCCTTTGGCATGGACAATGCGTTCCATAACATGAACAACGTCTGGGGCCCGTCACCCATGAACTTTGCCCCTCCACCGCCTGGACTGGGGAATCCCACGTGGGGCAGCCCGATGATGCAGCCGATGCCGTCCCTGGGCCAAATACGCACCGCTGGCAACCCGCGATCCGTCACGGTCCGTCTCATGCTCTGCCGCGCCTGCAAGGAGCTGCAGGCACGCAGCGAGGAATCGGAGTCCTTCATCGACATGTCAGCCGTCAAGTCAGAAGTAGATCACCTGAGCCGCATGGACGTTGTCTCAGAAGACGAACTTCTGGACCTGCTCGAGACGGAGGGAAACGCGCACAACGGCGGCGGCACGTTCGAGATCCGACGAGACGCCAACGGCCCCGGCAAGCACACGGTTCGCTGGGTGCCCGAGTTCAGCGACCTGTCCCAGCCCCAACACAGGGCGGTAGGCGCCCCGGGCGAGATCGGTAGCCCCATCATCGGCGGCGGGTCGTTGGCTTTTCTGTCTAGGGGGCAGTAGGAGCGTCCACCTAGCAGGAACTCGCGGGCGTCCACGGCCGCCGCTGCGGACACCAACCATGCCCCGGGGATTAGGTCTCTGTTCAGGGCCATGCAGTCGGGTCGCTCGCAATTCGGCGCCGATCCAAAGCCCTTTGCGAGTAACCGCGAGTAGTATCGTGTGCACGGGTTCTGGTATGAATGAGACTTGGAATAACCCCATCCAGCGTTGAGGGTAGCGTCAGGAATATGCATATCAAAGTGATGCAGAGCGGGTCTGTCATGGAGGAGGAGGGCAGCGGCTGTCGGCCTCGAGCGTCCACGCCGGCCGGCTAATAGAATACCTGGTTCTTTCTGCGCAACAGTTGTCCATGAACGTGAAGCCGTGTTTCCATCTTGCCTAACCGTCCCTGTTCCCAACTTGAATATCGCCGCTGCTTACATTCGCAGGCAGAAGAGCCAACCTTGACCAACACCAGATACGCCCTAGCCATCCGCCCCAACTCGATCCCCGTTCTCAAAAGGACCTCCGGTGCCAACTATCTCCCCGTCCTACCCAACGTACCCATCCCCTCCAAGTCCCCCAATCTCCACACCACAACCAACACAAGCCACCACACCTCCCTCCAACCCTGACTCCGCCCCGCCCCGCGCACATCCGGCGCATTGCATTTTTTCCCGTGCCAATCGTGCCGTACCCACATCCCACATCTCCCGCACGCACACACAGACACACACACACACACACACACACACACACACACACACACACACACAGGCACCATTCATAAGCCCCCTCCCGCGCCTCCCCGACACCTCAGAAACAGAAACCCGTTGTCTGAAGCCGGTCGCCCGGCTAGCTCAATCGGTAGAGCGTGAGACTCTTAATCTCAAGGTTGTGGGTTCGACCCCCACGTCGGGCTCAATCCCCGTCAGCGATTGGCATGACACCACAGCGCGATCTGTTCCACTCTTTTTTGGTAATTTTCACGATGTACTTTTATTTTCTTTTGCCGTGCTTTTGCTTCTGTCTCTCTCTGTGTCTATTATCCGCGGGACCTTGATTGTTGTTTTTCGGCCTTCGTCCTTGGACACAATATGTAACGTACCTACACCCAGGGGTAACATCTACTGTTGAACCTGGAGAGCCTGGTCAGGTTCCAACTTGGTCCTGTTGACGATGCCTTACAATACCACTACAGGCATTCGGTCACCACTCACCTCGCAGGAGAGAAACACGTACATCACCAAGCCAGCACAAAGAAACTCCAAAGGAGTAAATCTATTTGTCTATATGGTATGCTTCATATCTCATCAAACCCCCTCCCGCCGTGAACCACACTCGGTCGAAGGCTAGAAGGGGCCGGCTCTATCAACGAGACACGGTCCGCCGCGGTGGCCGGCTTCGGTGAGTGTGTCTCGATGGGTATCAAGGTCTAGTCTAGTGGGTGGTCTATGGTTTATAAATAACATCAAAGAAATTGAAAAGACAAAGGGAAGATGGGAAAAAAGACAAGTCTATCTTGGCGCGCCGCCCGTCAGTCATGAGACATTAGATAATACATTTTTTTCGTCATATGAACAATGAAAGGGGGAAAACGGTTCCGGGTTAGGGTGATCCCTAATCTGCAGAAAAGGGAGGATGTGAGCAACGGAAGCTGCACTGGGGCGAGGCTCAGATCCACGCAGGCAACGCCGCGCCGCGGTCCTCGACGCCGCCCCTCCTCTTGAGCCTCAGGTTCTCGAGACTGCGCTTGCCCCAGCTGAGATGGCGCTTCTGCTTCGTCGTCGTGGGGACCTGCAGCAGCGGTCCAGAGGAGCCATCACTGTCGGCCGTCGGGCTGAGATCGCCCATGCTCTGGCTCCACGGCGCGATGGGGTTTTCGTGACTGGGAGTGGAGGGGTAGAGCATGGGGTCGAAGAGCTGCTCGTCCTCAGGGGGGCCGAGGACAACGTTGGCAGACCAATCGTCCCTCTCGGGGAGGACCATGGGCGTGCCAGGGTGAGGGTATTCCAGGGAATCGGGCTCTTCGGGGATGGAGCGCGGCGGCGGGTGGGAGACGGTCGCGTGATTGACGGGGAAGAGGAAGCGTCGCAGGGTGAAGAGGGTCTGCGGGCCGGTCGTAGATGGCTGCTGCGTGACTTGAAGTTCAGAGTGGCCCTTGGAGGAGAAGGCGCAGGTGTGCAGAAGTGGGCGAGACGCGGCGCCGGGAAACTCAGGAGCGGGGTGTTCCGGGGAGGAGAAGGAGGTCTGGCCGAGGGTCCAAGCCGCGTGAAGGATGCGAGGGACGTCGAGGAGGTGCCTGCACTCGAGGAGCTTCTTGAGGTCGCCCGAACTTCTGGGCTGCCAGCGCAGCTGGTTGCGGGCCGACTTGTCCCATAGGGTGTGCTTCCACTCGTCCTTCAGACTCCTCTGGCGCAAGAGGTTCTGGACCTGGTGGTAGTAGGTCCACTCCGAGGCGGCGCTGCGCTTGTCAAAATGGCCTGCGAGGTGGTCGAAGAATGTCTCTGCCGTGGAGGAAGCATCAACGTCGGAGGTTGATTCAAAGACTTCCTTGCAGCCGATGAAGCCGCATGCGAAGACGACCTGCGGGCAAAGATCCTGTTTTGTGGTGTCTGGCGGGGGACAGTTGTCGCCGTGCTCGGATTTGAAATGAGCGATGTATGCCTTTTCAAAGTCGAAGACCATGCGGCAGCACGGGTGAGGGCATACCCAGAGGGCGTTTGCGTGATGGAAAGTGAGGAGGTGCTTCTTGAAGTCCGACTTGCGGCCGAAGCCGACGTGGACATCGTAGACGGCGCACATGGGGCACTCTATCGGCTTGCGGGCGGCCGACTTTTGAGGGCAGGTCCTGGTGCAGGGAGAGATCTGGGTGCTGTCGAGCCAATCCGACCCGGAGAGCGAGGGTGTGTCGGGGGAGAGGAGGAAGGCCGGCTCAGAATCCCAGGCTGGGGAGAAGAAGGAGCCGGACATGGAGGCGGCATCGTCGCAGACGGAGGCCGACGAGGTAGACCAGGGGCCGGACGATGTCAGAGAAGGCGCATTGGAGCCAAAGGTTGTTGTGGAGAGAGCAGAGCTGCGAAGGGGGGGCTGGGCTGGTGCTGATGTTGGGGCTGGAGATGTGATGTTTCGTAGTGTGTAAGTGAGGCTGTTTGTACCGTAGCGCGCCGAAAGATCGCGGAGGATCTGGATGTCTTCTGCAGACATGTTGGGCTGTGCGGAAAACATCTTGTCGTTGAGTCGAAGCTCAGCTCAGCCGAGCCGATGACGAGACTGAAGTCGTTGTTTTATATTGACATGGGTGGATGCGGTGTTTGTCAGTTAGTGTCCAACGTTGCGCGGACCAAACGAAGGGATGGATATAACGGGTGTGACGAGATCCCGGATCTGATGCGAGAAAGACCGTTGTTATGTAGTGATCGAGTGATCCTCACGGCTGGAATAAACCGACAAAAAGTATCCAAAAGTGCGTCAGAAAGGGCAGCGAGTCGAGGTTTAGTACCCTCGCCAAGCGACGACGTCAAAGGGCTGGGTCGTCGCGCAGGGCAGCCGGGCCCAGGGACGGCGGGTGCAGCGGTGTGTGGCGAACATTGGGGTAAGGAAGCCGTGGAAATGTTCTGGCGTGTCGTTGGGTGATGGTAGCGCCGCCGCTGTATGGTTGTGAGTGGTGTTGTGACGCCTCTTTTCGCATTAGCGCGGGCGCAAGACTCAGGACTGAAGACTGCGCTGCCGGGGTTCACATGGTTGCCTTCCTTGCCCTTCGCGGAAGGCTTCGAGAAGGTGGGCGGCTGGGGAATGGGTGTTCCTTCGTTTCTTCTTGGCCTCCTCCCGTTCGCTGAGAAATGTTCAAATCGTGGATTTGGGTGAGATGCTTCATCTCACAAGGAGCAAATCACGGCCGCAGGCAGCCGGGTCGGCAGGGGGTGGAATGAATCTGCAGCCCACGTCGTGAATTCCCCGGTTTGGCCAGATCTGCGAGTGCGTTGTGCCTTTTCGTACCTCTAGAGACAGGTGGACAGGAACTCTTGCATACGCCACGGTCCGACCGGCGTCAGCGCGGCTGGAAAATGGAAGACACATTGCTGATCCAATCTTGTCTGGTGCGTTGTTGGCGAACCAGATGCCGCAGGGCTCAAGACACATGCATTTCTTCCTTGCACGTCTCTCGTCATGTCCGGATGACGGTCCCTCCTGTCTGACTGCAATGACTGGTGGGGGAGCCTGGGATGGAGGCTGTGCAGCCCAGCTAGCAAAAGCCAAGACTCGTTAGCCGGCTTCTAGAAGGGCGCTAGAACAAAGGATGCAGCAGCTGGGTGGAGGAGCGTATGACGACGTCGGGGGGCTATTGGGCCAGGAGATGCGCGTCCCTGCTGTCGTAAGGGCCTTGTGGTAACTCGTAAGGACGCTGGGAGCGGTCTAGCAGGGCGATGTTCCTTTTTCGCGTAAGTGAGTGATTGGGAGTGTATGATTTGGCATCTGGATGTGGTTCGTCGTGTGAGTGTCTTTCGAGTCTCGCGCCGGCCGGGGCCGAGTCGGGCGAGAGAAGAGGGGCCTGCTCCAGTCCCAGGATGAGCATCCATGGTGGACTCGGTCAGGTTGCGTGTGTCGCTCTCCCGCGCGTCTTCTTTGTCTGCCTCCAAGGTAGTCAAGCTACAGGCCAAGATTAGCGGCTGGCGATTCGCAACCTTCTTCTTTGTTCGCGGCTGAGCGGGAAGATCTGGAGAAGCGTAAGGGAGACGATGATCCGAGGCGCGAAAAAGGTGTAGGTTTTCCGTGGCATCAAGTCAGGTCACGCGACGACGGCCAGAAAGAGCCGGAGGGGTTGGAGGCCGGGTGCCGGGTGTTTGAGAGGTTGGCTAAGGCGAGGTGACCGTTGGAAAGAGGGCGACTACTGCTGCGGTGTTGACGTTGGATGCCACCGCGTCGGTGGATAGCACGATGCAAGATGTTCCTTCTTTCCCATCTCGGGCAGGAGCCACAGCTTCGAGGGTGCCTTCTAGCTAGCTGGAGGTAAGGTAGGGTTAGGTGGTGCAGGTAGCGACGATGGAACAAAGTGGAAAAACACGGTCCGCCACAAGAACCCCTCCCCGGGCGCAAGCCTCAAACGTCCACCAGAAGGGGCAGCTGCCAGCTTCTTCGACTTTGCAGGAAAGCTCGACGAAATGCCTGCCTTTCCGAGCCTAATCAGAATGGAAGGAACCAACGCCCCATGCCTCAGTCGCCACCACTCTTTCCAGCCTCACCAACGGCGGCGTCGCCTCCACAAACACCGCCAACCACGCACTTGCACCTATCGACACGCACTCTCTCAGTGTGCCCTGTCTCTCTGCCAATGGAGAGCAGTGAAAGCATCCATCATTCGCGGTGCATCGCGGGGCTGGTTTATGTGCGGGGACTAGGTTCCCAGGCAAGCTATCCGTAACGCAGGTACAGACAGAAAACACTGTAGGCCGGGGATCGGTGTTTGAGGGGTCCAGTCCTGGTGCGCTGTGGGGCGTTTGCCGGCTGCTGGGATGCGCTGACGTGCTACGGATAGAGATGGACGCCCTGGAGAAAATCCCCATCACCCATCATCAATCACCCAACCCCCGGGGCACCCTCCGTCTCCCGATTTCCCGGCGTCCACAATCAACCTTCCATGCTCCTGCTCCCTCCCCACAGAAGCCGTCCGGCAAACCCAGGTGCAAAGTCCGGCACTCCCCATCGTGATCCTCTCCGTCGTCCGCCCTCCTGCTCCACTCCCAAATATCACCACCAGAGTCCATGTCCCTCGACAGCTGGCAGGCATCATCAATAACAACGTATTCCTCCCACATCCGGCAGAAAACCACCTCACCTCACCCCAGCAACACCAAAAAAACTTTAACACCGCTTAAGCGGAGCATTCTCGTCTCATCGCCCTGTTCCAACGTAACGCGGGTACACCCGAACTCGGTGATCCTCCCCCATCCTCCAAGTCCCAAGTCATGCACCCGGTCCTGAGCCAATCTCCCCCCATGCCCTTTCTTAATCGCGTACCTTACACCAGTGACCATCCACCCAGCACCCCTCACCTCGCACTTCGATACGCCAAACGGGATGCCCGTCAAGATATGAGCCGCTCTTCCCACAGATGAAACGGTGCCCCCATGCCTCGTAGAGATAACCGTCAAAACGCTCTCTCCTCCTCCTACCTGCACCCCTGCATCCTTCAACATCATACCTGCACCTGCACCGTCAGTCAGCCCGATCTTCGGATTCCGCTGGGCCCAGCGCATCACACAGTCGCAACTTCAGGGCTTTAATTGACTTCATCCGATGCCGTATATCCTCTCTTACAAGACCGAGTGCGCTTCACAACGCACAAGATCCGCAAGGCCCAAGTTTCCGCTTACCTCACTGACTGCGTATTTACTCCACCACCTTCCTCTTCCTCTTCCTTCCCCTTGCCTATCCGCCATCTTCGCCCTCGTCCTTTCCCTCCCGCACTCCGGAGGCCGGGGGTGCCACGTGGTGTCACTGCCGTCGCAGACAAGATCCCTCAACCTCCTTCCAGTGCCCCAGTCCAGGGACCTGGCTCCTGTAACCATGCGACCCTCCCACATGACTCGATTGCCTCACCTTACCTGCTCACTGTCTGCTTCTTCATGACAGTCCGTCTAGACTGTTCATGTCCTCGACTGAGTCGGTTTCTTTAGACGAGAGCTGTTGGACGCGCGGCGTCCGTTCTCGATGCAGTAATAGACGCTGTAAACATCGGACCGTTTTTGCCAGATTATCTCAACTCGTCGGCGTAGGGCGTGAATTGAGTTTCCGTGGATCGAGTTCCACGGGTGAATCTCCCTCCCTCATCGTGCGTTGTTATTAGGAACGTCTCATGTGCTCGCCCTGCAAACATGCGGCATTATCTGCCCACCTGTGTCATGTGTAAAGAGACTTGCATTTCGAATATCGTCGTCACTTATCACCGCTGCAGTCATTAGATTCTCGAATAATGCTCGTCCAAATATGTGGTTCAATGTAAATTGCTTCATTTGTGAAGAAAATAGATCGATTCCAGCCACGCCTTATGGGTATAATGTGCAACATGGCATACACTTTCCCTTGATGCTACCGTGAATCCTTGCCCTCCCCTACCCGTTCCGCCTGCGTCCATGCTTCCGCCATTTCGTCCCGTCTCTCTAAAAAGAGCTCGACCGTGTTTTATGTGCTCTTGTCACTCGTAATAGAGGCCGTCCTGGATGACCTTGTTCCCAGAGATTCGTCGTAATGTACAATCCTCCTCTTTCGCCCGTCCCTCGTCATCCAAGATAGTAGTAGCTGTAGTTGAAAAGGAAATAACGGCGGTCGACTGTTATTGGGTATATAGTCTTGCTGGAAACGCCGAAGAAGAAAAAAGTCCAAAAAAAAAAGGAAAACATCTCATGCGCGAGACGAAGCTGTGGTTTGCGTAGTCATACAGTGTTATTGATACATGGTTGGTAAGCTTGCTGGCGAATCGTCGGTCGGCCTCAAGGCTCTCAGTAGGCCTGTCCCGGCGGGAAGAATCCATCAGGATTGCCTGACATAGAGGGGCTTGTCAGGTTGGCGTGAGGGACGTATGACGACGAAAAGTCCGTCATCATTCCTGGATCCTGCATCTCCACGTCTTGTTCGGGCGTGCCCCCGGCCATGCTCCGTAAACTCTGCATGTCGTCCGCAATGATGCCGCTGTGATGCATGTTGCTGTTGTTACCAAACTGTTGGCTTGCACCGTTCGGGTCGAACATCTGTGCCTCGGGCATTGTCTGAAAGAAATGTCCGAGCGTGCTGTGATTTTGTCCGTTGCTTTGGTGGCTCTGGCTGTGGTGGCTTGATTGTGAGGAATGCGATAGTCGTGTCTGGCTGGCCATCGCACTCGACGTCTGCATTTGCTGGTGAGGATGGTGGAGCTGCGGAGGCCGTACTACCCGCTGCTGTCTCGGCACATAGACTCTTCGCTGCGAGGCCATGTAAGCAGCCAGCTGGGGGTTTGCTCCGCGCGAGATCTTGAACGAGAAGGGATCGGCCGGCTCGGGAGGCGCTATGCTTTGCTGCCTAGATCGGTGACCGGACATGTGCATTGTGCACGTGTCGGCGACGGGAGTGATGAAGTCCTCGCGGAATTTGCCAATGCTGCTGGCGTCAGTACCAAGAAGGAAAGCGTACTGGATGAGGAGCTTGAGATCGCCAATGTGCCGGCATTCCAGTCTCTTCCTCAAGATTCCAGACGTCTGGGGGTTCCATTGCAGCGACGTTCTCGAGGCTTCGTTCCACATCGATTCGTTCCACGCAGATTGCACCTGGCTCTGGCGCAGAAGATTGCGTATCCTTGCCGAATACGACCACTCGCCGCTGTTGGTACCTTCGTCAAAGTGCTTCACCACGTGGCTGACGTATTCCTTAAAGGTTGAGCTGGCGTCGGAGTCTCCTTGGGCCTCGAACACCTGCAGACAATTGTCGAAGCCACAGGCAAACACGACCTGCGGGCAGAGGTTGACCTTGGCTTCGTCGAGAGACATCCTAGAACCACCATGTGCTTGCTTCAAGTGCGTCTTGTAGGCGCCTTGCCAATCAAACACCATCTGGCAGCCACGGTGACGACAGAACCATTGCGCGTTGACGTTGTGGAAGTCTTCGATGTGCCTCTTCAGATCGTTTTTCCTCGTGCAGGTCTTGGTAATGTCCTCCTCTTTACAGAAGCCGCACATGAAAGCCCCCTTCTGCTTGGATGCACTTGAGGTGCTTGATGCTGCTTCAGGAGTCGACGAGTCCCACGACTGTTGCTCTTGGGTCTGCGCCGCCTGAGCTTGAGCGGCAGCAGAAGCGCTGCTGCTCTGGCTGCGTCTCCCTAGAATTTTGGAAGTGCCACGAGAAACATTCGACATGATACTCCCGGTGATGGAAGATGTGTCGGAAAAGGTGCGTATGCTTTGCGTGTCCCATACGCTGGACTCGTCAGACAGGATGGACGACTGTGTAGATGAAATAATAGACGCGCCATCGGAAGCTGAATTGCAATTAGTTGGACGTCAGGATTAACCAAAAGAAAAGTAATGAACCCACGAGTGGTAGTAGTCTCCTGAATCAGGCGACTCAATTCGTCGGCACCATATCTGGTGAGAAGGTGCTTGATCAATTGCCCGTCAAGGACCCTTTGCGTGGGCGACACGTTCGCGGACTGCTGGGAGCCGTCGGCCCCGGGCCAACCATTTGAGGCCATGGTCCCGGCTGTCGAAGTCTCTCGGTCTCGGAAGGGTAAGAGTCGAATTCAATTCCAACAGAAATATCGGGCTGGTTGCAGGTCTTTGTACGAGCGACTGAGCGTTTTACTCAGCGTGATGCGGTATTTTGCGATGGTATGGAATTGCGAGAAATAAAGAAGAAAGGAAAGGAGTGTATCGTAGTCAGGATGGGGAAAAGTGCGGGAGGTGGAGGTAAGATTTCCAGGCGGCCGGGGCCTGGGATCTAGCGCTGTGCGCGACGCGGAAACGAGAAAAGAGTATGAAAGGATGGGCAAGTTCGATAAGGGGAGGGCGATGCTGCAGCTAAGTATCGGTGGCAGCGATGGAATGCCTCCGACCGGCAAGGCCAGGCTGGCTTGGGTTTGGGGTCCAGAGCAGGGTTCACTCTATCAGAAGAGCCGTGGGACGTGGCTTGCGGTGCTCGACTGTTGGACCTGCATCCAACTTGACGTGATCCGACACGGGATCTTCGTTAGTGCGGGCGTGGCAAGAGGAACAGCAGTAAAGAAGCCTTGTAAGGAGTCAGGAGAAACGTCGATGTGATGAACGGCGTCTATGTGGAGAGCAGATATGCTTCTGTTATGTCTGTCCGTGTCCTGTCGAATAAGGTACTGGTGCACCAAGAGGCTGGTTTTGCTAGCCGTCTGGCGGGCGGTCTCTCGTGGCTCGTCGCGCGTTTGGGCCCGAGAAATCGGACGGGATGATGAAGGAAGCGGGAAGGCAGCGGCTGGATATATGTCGGCGTGGTGTTTATCTGACAGTAGTGAGGCAAGAGGATCTCGGCAGTTGAATGGGTTTATTTCTCCTCTTCGATGCGAGGGTGGTGGTGCTCCTCGTCGTCGTCGTCTCCTCTTGACAGCCCCGTCGTCGCAAGTCGAGAAAAAGGTTGACAAGTGAGAGAAGGTGAAGGGAAGGATAAAGTGTGAGGGGAGTCTCAGAGGAAAGAGAAAGAAGCTGAGGTGATTTGCAATTGAGGGGAATTCACACCTAGTCCCCTGGTAGGTAGGGTACACTCCAGAAGTACACACCTACACCTGCACTCTTCAATCTCGCTGTCTCGGCCGGTCTGTTTAGTCTGTCCTCCCCTGACAGGCTGGCTTGCCTGGGTTCAGACGGTCTTGGATTGGGATGGGCTGCGCCAAAATGAGAGAAAACCAGTGCTCATCCCGGGAGAAGCAGCCACTAGACACTGTTCTCTCGTGGTTGTCTCTCTCTCTGTGTCTCTGTCTTTTGGTTTCTCAGGCTCGCTCTCAGACCAAAGACTATCCGCAGACCCGACCCCCGAACCCTTCAAGTGAGGTGGGTGCTGTGGGAAAATCAATACAGTCCGATGTCCGATGTGCCGAACATCGTTCCCATCGTGCTACGATGAAGAGATTGGGAGGAGAGCCGGGGGTCGCAACGGGGTCACATCCATGATCGAGTGGACTTTGAAGACTGGGAGAGGGTGGTAGCAAGTGCCAACCCGAGGGAATCCCAGACGGGCAGCCCGGCGAGTTTCGACGTCTTGGTAGCATTGGCGTGCGATAACGAGACGAGTTTAGTGGGCGACGCCACCACTAGGCGTCCGAGGATGGCCCAGAGATAAAGGCAAAAGGAAACAGAAATAGGCACGCTGCCCTTTCGGGTTAAGGCACGACAGCTGCTGCCAGGCTTGGGACAGTCTGTGGCCGGCGAGGGGCCAAGGGTGGGAGCGAGAGATGTGATTGATTGTGGTGGTGGTAATGGTGGTGGTGGTGGTGGTGGTCGATGCAGGAGAGCTGCGAGGGACCCCTGGAAGACGGGCACAGGCACCCTCTCGGTCGGTTCGTTCCATCCGTGGAAAGACAGACGGCCGGCCGGTGGCATTGGGACCCGTCAGTTGACGCTGTGGAAGGGATCTGATATCAATGGATGCCAAGATCAGTTCCGTGTCGATGACCCGGGGCCGTGTGTGCTATGCCCTGCCCTGCCCGTCTTGACCCCGGACGGATGATGCCTTTGGATACAGTTGGCAGCATCTGCCAGCCACGATGATAACAGGTGCAGGGCAGGCTCCGTGGCTCCGTCCGGGCCTCTTAAGCGGGATCGACCAGATAGGCAGGCCTCATCTGTCAGCAGCGTTGAATCCAGAAGGAATGGGAACAGGAACGAGCTCCGTTCAGCGTCCCAATCAGCGAGGTGGTATTTCCCGTGGAGAGAAGGGGATGCCGGGAGATGCGGGACCCGTCAACAAGGACTCGTGGTCGACCGTCATCGACGCAGGACCCTGGAGAGCCTGGACAAGAGCAGGCAGGGCTGGTTTGGACTGAGGGGGCAGGGGAGGAGAGCCCGGCCAGCCATCCAGCCATCGAGTCCGCGCGTGGTGTCTCTCTGGTGCGGCGAATGCCTAGTGGGCAAACACGTGAAGGTGGTGGAACAAGGACAGGAACAGGGCGGTCAGCCATTTGCGTGGAAGATCGGCAGCACAAATCGATGGGTGTTTTTTATGTGAAGCTGGCGAGGCATGGCCACTGCCGGGTTGGGCATCGCGTGGTGTTGGCTCCTTGCGTGATTTGGCGCGGATTGCGTCAGTTGAATCCGATCCGTTTTCCACATACCAGACTGGCGGTAAGTGCATGTGCATCTCTTGCGACTCTTGCGTTTGCGAGAAGGACTGACGATGGCCAAAACGAAGCCGACGACACAGGCTAGGGCGAGTTGCGATGGGCGGGTTTTTGGCTTCATGCGGTGTCACGGAAATGATTGAAGTGAAGCTTGATCAGTGGAGGGAATTATTGGGGAAAGCGTGGGGGGAACCTGGCAAGAGCGAGGCAGGGGGGCGCCTTCTTCTTGCTGGTGGTGGTGGTGGTGGTGGTGGTGGTGGTGGTGGTGGTGGTGGTGGTGGTCGGTACCTCATCCCGACGACGCTGCAGCGCCGTTGGGGGTTGCCTTCTCTCAGGCCGGGTACCTGTACTGCGTACTGGCGGGAGTTGGGGGCTTCACAATGAGCACTCGTACACCTACCTTCCCTGCAGTGAGTTCAACTGCCCGGGCAGCCGTACAGATACCTGTCCGCCCGACAGGACGTACCTCTCAGTGACCAGAGCAGAGCGAGCGACCTGCTTCAGGCTTGGCAGGTTCCCTCCGACTTGCAAGTTGCGTCGTTGCTTCAGGGAAAGTGCTCGAGTCCAGCGTCCAGCGACTTCCTTCCTTCGTTCCTTGCCTGAAGCAATCAACAAGAAGGCAAAACACTTAAACAGCATCACGTGACTCATCCAATACGTATCTTTTTACTGCGTATTTGGCAAAGCAAGGCAGTCACCCACGCACCCAGGGCCCTGGTCGCTCTTCACCGAACCTCATTAGCGACAATACCTTAGGTGGAAGCACTGCCACTGCCACTGCCTCTCGTCTCTCGTCTCTCGTCTATTCGATATCCGTCTGGTGCCCCCAAACTCAAATCGTGGTGCCCTCATCTCTGCTCCCACGATGCTCCCAGAAAACACTGCAATTGCGAAACGAATGCAGCCTTGGGTTGACATTGGCTACCATTCCCCGGTCCAGTTCCCGGCTACCACAAGAAACAGAAGTCAGTCTCCCGCCGGAAACTCTACTTTCTCCAACATCCAGATGCATCAATTCAGCCGACTGGATCGATGCCGCCGCAGCCCAGGTATCCAGAGGGATGGACCCTTGTTTTCTTCCCACCTCCCGCGAACACCTACTCCCACTTCCACCGCCTTCCCGGCCCTTGCTCACCTCCTCTGCGGTACTATCCAGCAAGTAAGGTTCGGATCTATTCCATTTCCCTGGAACACCTTCACTTACCTCAGGTTGACTATGGTGTGCACCTTACTTGCTGTTCAATAAGCCGTAATGCCACGCTGCACATGGCACGGATACACGCCACCTCGTCTATCCATCAGACAAACACCACTTTGCAACCACCAGCACTGCGTTTCAAGCCTGCTGCAGCCTAATCAACTTGAGCACATCTCCTCGACATCACCGGACATGCCTCGAGAGAGCCGGAAGATTGCGCTGCTGCAGGGGGTGCTTCACCTCCCTGCACTTTTCTCTCTCATCCCAGCGACTTTGATAACTGCCCTCAGCAAATCACCTTCACCAACAGAGGCACACCACTTGCAGTCATTCATCAGCCAACACCTTCCATGACTGCAGAGTGCAAGCCACTCAGACCCCGAGACTCCGAATTGCCATTACTGGCCACTGAAGAATGCTTCCAGAAAGCAGCAGTCAGCTTCCATCAGCTCCAGTTTGGCCAGCCCTCCAATCTCCATCCCAATCACCACCAAGCCAACTCATCACCACTTCCGCTTGCGACTAGCTCCTAATCCTACTCGTTTTCTCGAACCACGGGAAAGGGAAAAAGAAACGCGGCAATTGCCATTCTTTCATTCCAGCCAGCCCATGACGCAACCTCCCACCAAAAACGTTTCCTTCTCCCACGCGTTGATATCGCGCCCACTCTCGTTCGCGTCCGCCGTCCTCTACTAACCTCTCAACCTGCCGCCATCGTGTCTTACACTGAGCAATTACACATTCTTTTCCCGCCGGCACTGGAACCTGTCCGGGACTAGGGCCACTGCACGCGGGCCCACCATTGGCCGGCCGGGTGGACCCCCCGTTCGATAGCACGGTGCCGTCTCTGATCCCACGACACATGTGAATGACAAAACCCCGATGTGCCGTCGAACTCTCACATAGTGCTCCCTCGAAACATCGGATACGACCACTACAGCGTCTCCAGCTGCAATGGCGGTCAATATATCCATGAGAAGCAGAATTTTTACCTGACGGGTCTGGTTCTCGCTCATTCCGAAATGCACTCATGTTCAGAAGCAAGAAACAGTTTTTGGACTCGGCCCCCAATGGCAAACTCTGCCACATGCACTACACTGCTCTGCTCTACACTGCTGCTGCGCAACGCGGTGATTCGTGCGACCACTATGCAAGCGGCTGAATGCATATTCGCTTCAGCCGCAACAGTCTTGCTCGTCAGCTCTCACCCGGCACTGCTCATTCGCGATGGCGGACGCGTGTTATCCTGTCAACCTGTCAATTCCTCTCATATGTTTGCAAGGGTCGCATCAGGCTTACGCCGCACTTAGTCCAGAGCCAACCGCCCCCTCAGCTTCATCCGATGGAGACGATCTCTTACAAGTTGCAACAGATCCGTTTGTCCAGTTTCCCATCCATTTCTTTTGCTTTTCCGATATTCCCACTTCACCGGTAGCGCCGTTTGGATGTCAGCTGGGCACAGCCACCGGGACGGTGCGAGAATGAAACATCGAGAGGCACATCTTACTCGTTTGCATCGCTGGCATCGCTGCCTTTCGGACAAACTCCGTGAGCGCCGCGACTCGATGTTCGACTTCAAGCGAGTCTCGAGCTTCCAAGAGCCGCAAATCGAGACGGCGTATGCTTCTAAGCGACGGGGCGGGCTTTCGAGAAAGCTTATTCACTCTTGGGATGAGCTAGGCGCGTCTTATTGGGATCGGCAGACGAGTTGACGGGACGGGGCGGAGACTTCCAGTGAAGTCTCAACGCTAACCCTTACCAAACTCACTTCATCGGATGTCGACCATGACTCCCAATTCTTGCCAACCCGAGGCAGCACCCGGGAGACTCATCCGATGCATTTTTCATGGCAGCATCGTTGTCCATGTTTCCATTGTCTTTTCCATGATGCACAATGGTTGAATCTTCGCTCTTTCCCGGGGCGGACAGCAGTCCGAAGCTGTGGCGAGAATCATCGTTTGAGCACCCGTATCGTGAACTCATAGAGCTGTCGAGTTGTCCCGTTGCTTTCTCCCTTGGCCGGAGATGCCGTTGACACAAGTGGTGACAACATCGGCTGATCCCCCGAGTTCTTGTGATTGCAGGCCCTTTTAACCTGCAAGAAACGACGCAGGGGGTTCAAAGAGATGATTCCGACACGGCACTCCATCTAGGAGGGCATGCTAGTTTAAAAAATTATACGGCTATGCCGGGAGAGCCGTTTGCCTCTGGTAATGGGCAGCTGCCATCTTTCCAGCTCTGTCATACTGTCAAGGCCGATGGCATGTCAAGCTGTTGCCCTTCCTCTTCTGATCCGTCCTAGTAGTGTTGCTGCTCTTTTGGACTACGAACAACGCTGGCCCGTGGCTTCTCTTCACCTGCTTTCATGGCGGTGACGAGGAGCAAGTAACTCCTTACGCCCAATGTCGGTGTTGAAGCCGTCGATGACCGCCATCGATTCACCTTACCCAGCCGTTTGCCTTCGGACAGACCATGGAGCGTCTGCATGTGAAAACAGATGCCACACCCGACGAGGGAGGCCGAATATCAGGCAAGATTGACGTGCCCGAGCCATCATCGTGCACTCATTCACATCGACAGGCCACTACTAATCCAAGTTACTGTTATGACACACGACAAGTGTGGTCCATTAATGCCAAGTTTCCCTCATCCTTCTCGTTCCTTTGCAGTGTATAGGACTGTACACTCGTATGACACTCTTCCCGCATAACGACTTCATCATAGTGTCAATCTGATCTTGATCGACCGTTACATCGGATGTTCGTTGTTTCCACCATGGTCTCTGCCAGTATAACAAGAAGCTGTGTCGAGCAATAGCCAAGCTGGTGCTATCCAGCGACACAAACCTCCCAACCAACACACTCATCCAATCTCCCAACGACACCCGCCTGAGAGCATGCCATTACCTCGCCCAGCATCAGACGCTTAAGCGGAAAAAAGGATTCACGCATCCGTGCCCCAAGCAAAAGCCACATGCAAGGACCCCATCTTCCCACCTCCAAATCGGCTAAATCCGTCTCAAGTTGGAGGGGCCCGACACACAGCTCACCTACACCGGCCCGAACCACCGAATGCTCAAGTAACCGGAAAGTTGCCGACCACCGAGCTGGACAAGTGTGTGCATCATGCTGGGGGAGGGAGCAAAGCATGGGCACAGTAGCCCGCATGTCCAACCGGCGCGGGAGAATATCCGGCTTCATGTGTCCTGTCCTGCTCTTGTCCGCCCGCCGTTGCGGCAAACGACGCCACATGCAGTCAATGCAGATTCAAAGCTAAAGCCAGTGCTCCTGCTGCCTCCCCACGCATCTCTGATGTGGGGAGCTCGGGGTGGCGTCTCAAAGTTCTCTATCTCACATGAAGCAAACACCTCGTGCCCGCCATGTCGTTCAAGCTAAACCCAGACGTCGGCCGTCCCGAAGACTTACTCGACTACAGCATCCGCGTTCTTAACGGGAACCCGGCGGCCGCACATTGGCGCCACGCCCCGGACGCCAGCTCCTTCGACGACGGCGCCGCTTTCCGCATCATCCGCGCCGCGGTGTCGGAACAGCGCAACGACCCGCAACACCTGCGGCGGACGGCCGGCGAGGTAGCGGCGCTGCTTCCCGCGGAGCGGTCGGCGGAGGCGCTGGCGTCGCTGTGGGGCCTGTTCATCTCGTTGGCGCAACAGACGCCCTCGGGTAACATCGCAATGCTGGATTTGGTGGTGCTCCTGGATCATCTTGCGCTGTCGCCGAAGACGGCGGCGACGGTGGTGGTGGTGAGTTAGGCTTCGAAGCAGACTGTGGGGGATGTGCAGCTCATGGTTTGGCAGGACGGGTTCGAGCAGATTAGTCGTCTGCACGGGTTGGATAGATGTATCAGGGAGTGCATGGTGTGTAAGTCTCTCTCTCCCTCTCCGTCACCTGCACACTTGAATACAAACTTGACCAAACAACAAAGCCCCGTACGTCTCCGACGAAGTCACGTCCACCCTCACCCGCTGGATCAACCTCAACGCCTTCGCCGCGCTGCTGTGGTCCTACAACCTCGTCGACGGCCGCGACCACGCCGTGCAGCAGCTGCGCTCCGCCTTCGAGGACCGGCGGTCGTCCGACGTGGGCGACCGCGCCGCGGCGGACGCGCGGGTGGTGGCCGCCGCGCAGTGGGCGGAGCACGCGTGCCAGCGGCTGTACCACCTCTCCGTGACATCGTCAGGGGAAGAAACCACAGGGACGAAAGCCAAGTTGTGGCGGCCGGGAGCGCGGTTCAAGGGGCGCGCGGGCTTTTCGTTCCAGCGGTGGGAGTTTTGGCAGGCGGCGTTCGAGGAGGCGCACGAATTTGGGAGCGGCGGGGCGGAGGCGAAGGTCGAGGCTGGGGCGGCGAGCGGGATGATGGAGAAGGTTCTGTATGCTGGGTTTGAGGGGTGAAAATACGTCGGATGGATGATGACTTTCGGGAATGGAAAGGCGTGATATGATGGCAATATTTGGAAGCACACTGCAGAGAGAATGGAGTTGGTTTCGTTAGTTCGGTCATGTGTGGTCTGTTGCTCATTCGTTTGGTTGTTCATCCCGACCAACAGGCTAATACGGCAAGAGTCTATTTTTTGGAGTGTACTCGCACTCGACCCTCGAAGCAAGGCTCGGGCCGTGAACCCGAAAGTCCGGACAAGAGGCAGGCGATACCGAATTGGACAAGATGAGCATGACCAGCTTCTCGGCCGTACTACGATGCAACGAGTTACTAGTTCTGTGTGTATGCGGTGTCACCCATCTGTCGGAGCCCAAAGCCCACAGGCGTTCTGTGAGTAGACTCACTCGAAAAGACTCGCAGTGTAGATGCCGAGAGTGTTGCTAGAAACCCGTTTTACAGCCTCATATGTGTTCTGTAAGGAGATGAAGAGAATAATGTGTGCAGGATTTAGGTTATCATTCTTGTTGTTTTATTGTTTTTCTTTTCCATTTTCCTTACTTTCGTCCCTCTTATTACCCTTGCTATTGTTATTGTTGTCGTTGCTACTGCCGCCTCTGTTATGCTCTGCCCACTATCCGCTTGAATAGCCAAACTCTCGATGAATTTCACATTGAAGTATTTAGCTAACTTTGACGTATCATGTTTTAAAGGCTGGAGGAAATATTCAACCCAATATTGATCACTCCTCCTGCAATAAGTCCACGTTAGTTTTATGCAGGAACAAGTTTAGCTTTTTGCCAAGAACATCTTGTCTCTTGCACATCGGCTGCCGCAAATCCGCCAATGTCAGCTCGTATGACTTCTACGATTTTTGCCTCCCAAGATGTCGAAAATGAACTTGGCATATCGCCGTGTCCGTATGGAAGGGATCGACGCCAGGACGCACCCGAACGAATGAGCAAGCCGCAAGAGGCAATAACATCTGCAAAACGTTGCTTCCTATCGCCATCGCTCTACCAGTACCTCACATTTCCCATCACCGAGTGGCTGGCCTCCTCCAGCCCTGTTGGTAGCTCCCATCGAATCAACGCGATGCTCGGGTGAGCGTCGAATAAGGTTGCAGTACCCGTTCCCCCAACGCCAATGTTTCTCTGCTGACAGTTGCGGCTGACTTGCATGCTCGTATACCACACGCCGTGGAACAACGTGGGCCCAGGACCAACGGCCCTCGCGATGGGCAGCTCCTCTAGGCCCTTGGCATCATGCAGCCTGACCGTGGTGATGTCTTACCAAGGAAAACCGGAAAACCCCCCCGCAATGGCTGGCGACAGGCACAAAAACGTACCGTGACGCCCGCCCTGTTGGTCACGGCTTGGCTGTGCTTCGTTTTTATGAGTCCCCCCCCTCGACACACCGCTCGTTTTGTGTTGATGAAGTTCCCTTGCCTCATCACCTTGGCTCCAGCATGTCGCCCGACGACGCGATGGAGATGGGGGGTATTCATCGGCGCCGTTCGTTGGAGCGCCACGACTCCGACTTCTTTGCGTCTCTTTCCACGATTGGAGTCGATATTACGGACCTCAAACAGAAGCACGAATCCCGCGAGGAGCTTCTGCCGAGACATACCGAGTACACCTTCGCGGCGTCGAGCAGATACCCGGCCACGGAGGCAGAGCAGGGGCCGAAATGGTGGGACAAGGGGTACCTGCTGCAAGATCTGTGGACCTCATCATGGAATATGTACTTCTTCCTGGTGATCGGGTTGGGCTTCGCGATAGGCCACCACGCTTACTACAAATCTCTCGAGAACACGCTGGTCTACAATGACGAGCAGTTGACCACGCTGCGGTACGGCACTGCCTTGGCCTTCGCCGCGAAGGCGAGTATGGTTGCCGCGGTCTTGCTGGCATTCAGGGAGCAGATATGGGCGACGTTCAGCACCAAGTTCTTGAGGGTGACCACGCTCAACGACATGTTCGCGGCCCCTGAAACACCACTCTCGCTTCTCAACCTGGAATTCCTCTGGAAAGCCAAGATAGCCGCGGCGCTGGCCATATACTGCTGGTACGTCTTTAATCCCACTTACATCCTTCAGCTCGCTCACCTCTCGTCCAAAGGATCTCCCCTCTCAGCGTCATCCTCACAACAAGCACGCTCATCGCAATGCCCAGCGTGGAGATCGAGAACACGACCTGCCCCGGCGTCCGCACCCTCAACTTCAGATTCGAGGACACCACCGACTGGCGCAACGGCGGCAAGATCAACGAGCTCTACCAGCAGTCCCTCTCCTACTGGAACCAGACGAGCGAGGACAAGAGCGACCCGCACTTCTTCGACTACTACACGGCGCCCAGCGACAACGCCAAGGAGTTCATGCAGACCAGCACGTACCTCCAGCGCCCCATCATCGACCAGGAGAACACGTTCGAGGTCTGCGAGCGCGGCTGGAACTGCACCGTCGAGATCCGCTTCGTCGGGCCCGCGTACAACTGCAGCGAGATCCGCCGCGGCGTCAACGGCGAGCTCGGCGGGCCGGGTTTCCTGCAGCAGAGCTCGGGCAAGGCGATGATCCCCTTCGACGTGCGCAGGCTCGCGCCCACGGGCAACTTCACCTACATCGCGCAGACGCTGCACGGGGAGTACGGGTACCCGCAGCTGGACGCGGTCCGCAGCGGCGGGATGCCGGTCATGGCCCCGCCGTACCCGGAGCACCTGGGCGCGTTCCGGACGGAGCCGGTCATCTGGATCGGGTACTCTGAGCTGAACGCCAGCTACAACTACACCGAGTTCATGAACACGAGTGCGGAAGTGCGGAACCCGTGGGCATTCACCCCGGTTGTCATTGCATGTGAGCATTTCGAAGCGGACTACACCGCTGAGATCGCCTACAGCGACGGGATGCAAATCCCCACAATCAAGAAGATGGAGATGATCGCGCCCGTGATCAACACGACGTACATCCCCGAGCTAAAGGCCGACGACGGGACGCTAGACGACACCGTCGCCGTCCCGCAGAGCAATTACGTCTACCCTAATGTGACAGCGGCGTATAGACGTACGGCGGGTTACCACTCGATGGGCCTGTACCTCCGGCAGCGGCTGAACGGGACGATCCAAGGGACTGGCCGCGTCCAGCAGTCCAAGGTCATATACACCAGCCTCACCGACCCGCGTTTCCACCTCGTCAGGTCGAACGTCACACAACTCATAGAAGCGTGGTACGGCAATCTTCTCATGTCCATGTTCGCGAGGCCGCGGTTCCAGGCGGTGGTGTGGGCGGCGCAGACGGGCGAGCAGACGGGCACGCGCCGCACCGGCATCGGACCTGCGGAGAACTACTTGTACGACTGTACCCGGTCCCGGCCGGCTGTGCGGTATCACTACCGCACGCGCATCCTCGTGAGCGTGTACGGAATCTTGATATTCCTCGGGTTTTTGGGCATCACCGCTGGGACAATTGCGATTCGCAGGAACGGCGGGGTGTCCAGGGGGACTGGGTTCTCCAGCATCGTGGAAGCGACGCGGGGACCGACGCTGGACAGGATGGACTGGGGCGCGGGGAAGGAATACGGGCCTGTGAAGATTGGGTATGGCTTGCTCAAGACGCGGGATGGGGATTTGAAGAGGCCCGATGGAGAGATTTTGGTGAATGACGTGGACGCGATGCCGGTGCGTTCGAGGTTCGGGTTTGGGTTTGAGGGGGACGTTGATCAGTTGAAGCCGGGATGATGGCGTGTCTGGCGTTAAGAGAGGTAGGGATGGTCTTTTTATGTATATGATGGCAAATATAGGTATGAAATACTAATGTAATTTTGTCGAAGTCAACCTTTGTGCAATGGCGTTGATGGGTCGAAAGTCTCTAGATCACCTTCCCAAATGTTGGGGGTTAGGCGCATTTCCATGTGCCTTACAACATGCACCCGGGCTGCCAACAGACATTTAAACAGCACTATTCTAGGCCAAGGAGCATTAAAAGTGGATAGGGCAGCTGAAATCACCGTTGGGAAGCGGTGCTTCGGCATGCTGCATGCAGGTGAGAGCGGGCATGGGGTTCCAAATTTGGCCTCATTTAGTCACGAGGTTTGAATGATCTTCCTGCCCAGCTTCAGAACTGGCCGAATTTTAAACTTAAACAAGTCCTGGTATTTAATTCAGGGTTCAAATAATTGAATGTGAGCGTCGATTGATCGAACGATATTGAGTTCAAGGTCTTAGGCAATGTTGAGGCAATCATTCCAAACCAAGACCAGAGCTCGCCATGTCTTCACCGCCAGTCACACCCCCGATCAAGAAGCCGGCCCGGGAAGGCGACTGCCGGTTCAAGGAGTTAGGGACCCCCTGTGAATGGGCAGAATCATACCGCCTAGGAGGTCTACACCCAGTTCACTTCGGCGACGTTTTCAATGATCGCTATGAAGTAATTCGAAAGCTCGGAAACGGGTCTTTTGGTACGGTTTGACTTGCGTATGATTTATCGTAAGTGCCACCTTGAGATATCTACACCGAATGTATGTTGGTGTTGCCATCAACCTGATAGCTAATCTGGCGTCTAGTGATCAACGCTATGTTGCTGTCAAGATCAAAGTGCCCGATCGAGAAAAGTCAAACGAATTACTGATACAGACCCAGCTCGCAGCCAGAATATCAGAAACTCCGCGCTCAGAGTATATTGTACATCTACTGAACTCATTCTATCACCAAGGGCCAAACGGCAATCATCTATGTACTGTGCTCGAGCCGATGGGCCCGAGCCTGTCTACAGTCCTCAACGCCCCATTCGAGATCTACGACCCTTTGAACCCCCCCGTTCGATGCCTTGCCAAAGAACAGATCAAACGAATTTTGAGGCACGTGCTCTTGGGGCTTAGCTTTCTTCACGACAATGGCATAGTCCACGGTGATCTCCATTCAGGCAACATTCTCTTCGCCTTGCAAGATCTATCATCGGTGGAGCGCGTCGCTCTTGAGCAAACCACGGAAAACTCTAGAATCGACCAATTGCATCGTATCGACGGAAAATGCGACAAATGGGCTCCTACATATTTAGCCGTCGCCGAACCCCTATCTCAGCACGTCCGCTCAAGGGAAGCCGAGGCAGTCAAGCTTTCAGATCTAGGGGGAGGTAAGTAAACCCAGACATCCCACGCGTCGCCTTTGACTAATAGGCAATGCCAGCTTTTCGCAGCGATGATCCCCCGCAGTCAGTCGTCACTCCACTTTGTCTCCGAGCGCCGGAAGTTATCTTACATGAACCTATTGGAACTGGTATCGACATCTGGAGTTTTGGTTGTTTAGCCTACGAGCTTATCACAGGGACTGTGCTGTTTCAACTGCCTGTAATCGGGCTTAGCGATGAGGGATTGAAAGACGAGTGTCTGATCCAACTAACGGATATCATTGGCCCTCCGTGGCCTGCCACGTGTCCACGAATCTCTAGAGAGGCTAGCGAAAGCGCAAAAGAATGCTGATATAGATGAACAGGAAGAAGAGGCAATTGTCGCATTTCTTAGGTGCATTTTTCAGTACGACCCTGCACTTCGCCCCTTCGCGGGAAAGTTGCTTGGCCATCCTTGGATCAGTGCTTGATGCAGGAGTAATCAAGGTACCGTGGAAATTTCCTGGTGATCAAATTGACAAGAGCTCTGAGAACCGGGTGAATACTTATACTTGGGCCGAGTCTAATCTATATTAATTATTATTTAACTCTATTCTTCGCACCATGCTTACGCTTTTGTCGTCCTTGCTTTTGCTCCTGGCGTCGTTTCCACTCTTCTCGTCGTAATGCGTCCGGGACATATTCGCCCTGGCAGCGAGGCCTATTGATACAGGGCTAGATTACATTACCACGCCATAAGCGGAATTCGAATATACTTTCAATACTGTTAATTACGAATTCCTCAGATTCCGGTCGTCAGCCGAGTCCATACTGTTATTGGGCCTTATCAACCAGACGATTCACTGACTCAGTCTCTTGCAGAAACGAAATACCCGCATTTGCGTTGGAAACATTCAGCTGAAAATACTGGGCAACGTCCACCTCCAGGCTCTCAGAGGAGCTATGCGGACTGCCAAGGCAATGCGACCTCGTTCACACCCCACAGGGAACCCAAGAAGAACGCACCTTCTCGCAACGGTCCTGTGAATCGATTCCTGCGGCGGGGCAGCATCATCGCTTGCTTCCTTCGACCGGGCCTATGATCCTTCAACATCCGCAACGGGCCGCTGATGGTTGTGAAGGATTCACGGGCATCGTCCCCGCGAGAATCGTTTGGCAAACCTCTTCAAAGGGGAAGTTGAAGGTGAAAATCCTACTTTTGATATTGCAAGCATAAATTCACGTACTGGTCTCAGTATTGTGGGATTTCCACGAATATCACAATATATTGCACCTCCTGTCCCTCTCTCTTTGTACTCTCAACCACCAGCAGCGACCAAGTCTTATTCTAGCCAAAATGAAGTTCACCGGCATTCTCGTTGCACTTCTCAGTGCTACCGCGCTGGCCAACCCTAGCGTCGATGAGCGCAGCGAGGTACGTCAAGCTCTTCACTTTCTAGCACGATTCTCGGATGACCGCCCTTGCCTCTGTCCTTGATTTCTCCTCAATTAACGCACATACAATAACAATGGCACCACTCAGGGTATTGAGAAGCACCAGTGCCGCTCCTCGGGAAGCTACTGTGCCACCAACTCTGTCTGCTGCTCTGGCGCATGCATTGGCGCCGCCGGCCGTAATGGATACTGCTCCTAAGTCACATTGTGAAAGGGAGAAGTTTGGAATGTTGGAGATTGGGTCTGATGGGGGGCTAATACCGAGCCCTAGGCAAGGGGTTGTCAAAAAGCTCACCGCATCTTTCATTCACCTGAGTCACTGTCAACCGGGAGCAGCCGTTCTCATCATGGAAACTAGAGCCGGACAGCAGAAGAGGTCTCATCTTGATGTGTCAACAAATACAGCTTTTCGGCCCAAAAAATGTCAGCTTACCACTTTACCTCGGCATTGAAGTGTTGAAATTGTTTTTGACTCAAGCATGACCTGGTGTCGTTGCATCTGCCCTTTTGAGTGCAGACAGATCACGAAGACTTCTGACTACCTCGATGGCAAAGTGTTTCGCGATCAATTTAATGTGGACTCGAGCTTACCCGTAGAAGTAAACCTTGAGTGTCGTGTCCCATCCAAACAGCTGATTAGGGGTATGTTGAATCAGCCATGTTCACCACTCTGCAAGTCCAATAAGACATCTCCGAGAGACACATTGTGCGGAGAAATCTGGGTCACCAGGCACCTATGCCAGCTGGCAGAACGAAGGATGGAATTCCGAATAGGAGGTTACCTTGACCACCTGAAACGGCCTAGGACGAAAGACATCAATGCACCGTTCATCCTGTCATTGGCCCTGCCATCAACGTCCCAAGTCAACCTCGAACCACACTAAAATGACAAATGTGCCTTCTTGAATGGCCATACTGAAGAATCGTTTCGCAAACAACGCCCCGATCCGTCCAGGCACGCCGTATCACGTATATTGCACACCACAAAACCTGGAGCTCAGCTTGGCTATGTGTGATCGACGGTCGTCCGCGAAGAAACATGGCAGACCTCGCGAGAAACGGTTTCTGGACCGAGGCACTCCCGTTCTAGACATCAGCACTTACCCAGCTGTGTGGTAACATCCCGTCCCGTGGGCCGTTTGAGGGGGTCTCCCATCATGTAGACTCCGCACTTGGAGGCTTTCCCCCTCGAATGCTGTCCATCTCACGAATCATAGAAGGAATTTGCCTCTTGACAGCCGAGGAATCTCGAGATGGCCGAGGAACGTGGACGTCTGGGCAGAACTTTTCGTTCAAGATGCCTCTTTCAGTAAAGACTCGATGAAGTTGTAAACATCACGAACGTCTATAAGAACTCGTCGACGGCTCGTCTGGAAAGCTGAATATGCCATCCCATCCTCATCAGCACCTCACCAGCTACACACAGTCTTTTCAATTCTCTCTTTCAATCTTTCCCTGTCCCGTCCGCGACGAGATACTTTCGTTACACAAACTCACCGGTTGAACACACATTCAAATCACCGACTCTTTTCAAAATGAAGTTCTTCAGCACCCTCGTTCTCGCCACCACTGTCCTGGCCCTCCCCACGGAGGACAAGCGGCAGCTGGGTAGCGTTGGTAGCACTGCCAACGAGTTTAAGACCGGCGGATGCAAGGACATCATCTTCGTCTGGGCCCGCGGCTCCACCGAGATTGGCAACATGGTGAGTTCACGCTGCTTTGCCGCGACCTAGCTTCATACGTCTGACCTTATGTTTCTCAAAATAGGGCACTGTTGTTGGTCCCCCAGTGGCCAACCGACTCAAGAGCGCATTCAGCGGCCAAGTTGCCGTTCAGGGCGTCGACTACGCTGCCGCGCTCTCCACCAACTTCCTACCCGGTGGTGCCGACCCCGATGGCATCAAGGAGATGGAGACCATCCTAGGAAATATCGCCACCAAGTGCCCCAACGCCATTGTTGTCACCGGAGGCTACTCGTAAGCACTCCTTCTCTTAACAAGACGGTCCAGATCTAACTCGAACTGTGAAATAGTCAAGGAGCCGCTGTCAACCACCGTGCCATTGAAGGCCTCCCCGAGGCCCAGAAGAACCAGATCGCCGGCGTCGTCACCTTCGGCGACACCCAGTTCCGCGCCGACAACGGTCAGATCCCCAACTTCCCCAAGGACAAGATCAAGATCATCTGCGCCGCGAACCCCCGCGACACCGTTTGCGACGGCAACCTCAGCGCCGCCGTCCTGGCTCCTCACCTGTCGTACGGCGCCAACGCCGGGGAGGGCGCCGACTTCCTCATCTCCAAGATCAAGGCGGTCCAGGGGGCTTAAGCGCCTATCTGTCCATTCAAGGGGTGGCTGCTCTCGCCCTCTGTCTCTGAGTGATCTGATGTTCAGGTGGGATCTATGGAGGCTGTGCTTTTGCCAAGAGGGGGGCAGGGTATGCTGGAGATCGGACTCGTGTGCTAGCTGGTGGAGGTGTTTGAACATATGATATCGAGAAAACTGCGGCGGGCTTTCTGATTTTTCTTGCGGTGCGGAGCTTCTGGAGGCTTCTGTCCCTTTTCTTTTCTTACGCCACAGAAACGGGCGATGCTTGGCTCTTCGTTGAAACGTGTAGCTTTTCTTTTTTGCGAATTGGACCTTTTTCTGCCCGCCCATCCAACGTTCGTGTTCCAGGCTCGGTGACATCTTGTCGACTTCAAGAGACGTTCTTCCTGGTACTCAAAAGGGCCAAGAAGTGTGAGACTAGCGCAAAACCGAATCAGACAATTCGGTCTTCAGGATCATTACCCTTGGAGCTGAACGCTCCATGTCAAACCATCCAATCTCATCGGACGGTGTTGTCAACCTGGCTGATACTTCCGTACTGACGAACTAACAGGGATTTCGGGCCGTGCCAGTTGCGGAAGATTAGCATGGGTAATTGTGTCTCAATGTGTGACATGGTTTGTTCTCCGTCTATGTGATCCTTCGCAATCACTTCTCAAGCTCAAATCATCGTACCATCTCGCCCGGTCCTGCTGTGGTCCTGGTGACCAGCCATATAGCACGTGAGACCTTGTTGATGTAAAACGGCACGCCTAAACTTGCGGGGTGCATCTCGGAATACACCCAGCTTTGCAACACGGGCAGAATTCCAACGGGCGGCAGACCGCAAAAGATCGACATGACCGCATCCAGTGCGCTGGGTCGTCGTCGACGTCGGAGGATTTCTTTCTGGGCGCATTCAGAAGGTGGCGATGGGGGCCAAATAGAGGGGATAATTCATGTTTCTCACGTCGCAGTTGTATTGCGCTGTCTTGGATTGTCAACCCCCAACTTTACCGCTTCGAGTAACTGCTGCGAAGAAGCCATGTCGTTGTTGCGAGCGGCCCCCGCCCGGGGTGCAGGCGACATCCATCCAACGGTGTGGAGACCCGCTTCTCCACCAAATTGGCTAGACTTGGCGATGGTACGAGATGCGATTGGCACGTAAACGGCGGTGCAGCCAGACCCCTGCTGGGTGGACAGCAACGGCGATGCAGTTCGATCGAAAGTTGCCGAGGCTCAGGAAGGATTGATACATTTTTCGTTCAGGAGTCCATGTCCTTGGTGGAAATGGATGGATTGTCAGTGGCCGAGTTCATGACAGAAGATGAGAAGTCGAGAGGGGGCCCAGTGAGAAATAGATTACTTTGAAACTCTCGATGTTCAACTTGCACCTACTAGACGGGCTCTTGCCGTGGAGTCTGAGCTTTTGGGCCCAAAATCGGGGCTGGCGGATGTCGGCAACGGCACGGCCGGTACGGGCGGGAATATCACAGGGGCGATCTTTCGTTTCAGCCCTAGATGGTCGTGTTAAGGTATCTCTGAGTTGGAGTCATTTCTCCAGTTTGTTTTCTTGTTGGCAGCTTTACGAGAACAGTAAACAAGCTGGAAGATC